CTGGCTGGAAGCCCTCGTCGCCTGCTGTTTCCGGATTCGAGGTTCCTCACCCTTCCGTCCCTCCCGCACTCTTTCCGGTGAGAACATCTCGGCCGCACCAGCTCTAAATTCCACCTACCTCTTCCCACACCTTTTCCTTTGGATTGAACTTCAGAAACCTCGACGTTTGACGCAGTGTTTCATAGATCTCCTTGCTGGCAAACAAGACAGACAGACAAGTGGAGCGAGAGTGTGAGGTCGCATCTAAACAAAACATGGGTGATTTTGGCTGATACCGAGGGTGAACTTACGTGATTGTCATCTTGTCAAACTGGAGAACCCAGAGGAGAGAAGGATCAGATCAGAATGTGAACCTCCGGAACAATGTTAACAACAAAGGACGTCCTGTTCCTTGACACATACCTTGGTCAAAGAGCTGGCGTATCGCTCTCGGTAAGACTCAATGATACTTCTAAATCTGATCGATCCTGGAGCATGCACGCAGTGCTTATCTGTCCAGAGAGCGGCAGTAAGAGAACGAAGTCGTTTAGAAGAATGTACAACACTAGCTAGACTAGCCAGAACTAGGGCGTATCTGCGGGAGACGATTGGGCCTCTTTCCCATTCGTCTGTGATCCTCCTCGCTCAGCTCACCTTTACCGCACAAGACTGCTCCATCCAGGCCAGGAGATGAGACGAAAGCAAGGGAGACACGGGTAAGTGATGGCATGGTATCCAACTTCCCTCCAAACATCGCAACACATCTGCGGTCTACGCACCATCCTCGGGACGCGGCTCAATCCCCTTTACGGGTTTGGTGGATTGTTGTTGTTGTTGCTCTTCTGACATTTTGGTAGTGGTGCGGAGCATTGGCTAAGCTTCAAAGGAGTGCTCTTTCTGATAACTATCGACTTCAAGTTCTATTTTCTTTCTTGGCAATGAGATAGTGGATTGCTGCTATACTTCCGACAAGCAGCAGACAACACAGCAACAACAACAACAAAGGACAAGGATGTCAACAGCTGTGACCGATTGTTGGTTTCCCGGAAGTTGATTATGAATGGCAAGCCTTCTTCTCGAGGGAGAGCGAGGGGGAGGCTGGGACGGAGCTTCCGAGTAATGATGCACATTACCCATACGGAAGAAGCTTTTACACTTCAGAGAACTCGAATAAACTTTACGCAAGCGTTCTGTAAACCAGTTTCATGTGGAGAGCTCTGTTGTTTCTTAAAGATTCGGATGTCCCATTTTCCTTTACTCTGGGATGTGGGAGCATCTGCCTTTTAAGAGACAATGTCGGATGGACGCATGCCAGCTTTTCTACTTAGGGTGTTATTCGTCAGTCTCTGAGGAAACGGAAGATACTCAAACGTCACTGTGACTGCTGACTGAGCTGACTCACGACCAAGCTGACTCGGCAGACTAGACTAACTTATCGTATGCACCCGCCAAAAGTAAAATTCCACGCCACGATAAAGCGATCCAGCGCGATCAAGGGAAAGTCGATGCAAGCCGCCAACTAACGAGCGAATGAATGGATGATGAATGTGAATGATCAATCCACACCAAGAAGTTGGGGCTGGGAGGAACAGGAAGGTACAGGCACATACAACATCTGCCTGCTCCACGAAGCCACCGGTACTTATGCATACAGGCCCATGTTTACGGGATGAGGACATACCAGGCACCGGCTGGTACTAGTACCTACAAAACCAAGCTGCTAGCGTACCTGTACCAGGGACAGATCGAATGAATGATGCTGAATGCATCCCCGTCAAGACTAAGTTGGGGGCTGGGAGGGACAGGACGACGAGCAGACAGCAAACAACCCGAGGGGGTTGTCCCTATTTGGTGGGGCCCTGGATCAGCATAACCATAACTAGAAGCTACATAGATATTAATTTAAGTGCTACAAGCACATACAAATCTCGCCTCCGTATGGAACAAACGCACGAACACAAGTCACCAAGCTCAGCTCCAAGAAGCAAGGCACATCGCAAGGAAGGCCAACCCGGACATGACCAATGCAGACGAAAAGCTTGCCCGCATCGTGGTGCCAGCACTGGCGTAGTAGCCGCGTCCATCCGAACCGCCATACGAGGCGGACATGGCACTGCTACCGCCCTCAGACGAATCATACTCCATCGCATCCGCCGCTGTGTCTTCGTTCCAATACGAGTCTCCTTTGTTTGTTCCGTCTAGGCAAATCTCTGCTTCTTCGTTGTACACCAAGCATTGATTTTCGTCGATAGTCACCAAACCCGTCAGTCCACGAGTAACGAGCTGTGCTTTCAGTGCCAGCGACAATGCTTCCTCCTTGATGCAATCCGCCAAGCTTGTGGTCCCGTTGCAGGGATTGGTCAATGAAACCACGGGTTCCACAACTGGGTCTCCCAGGAGGAGCGCCACATCCCGAAGGTGCAACAACTGGGTGATGCGTGAATGAGCATATGATTGGAAACAGCGGGAGTTGGGGAGTCCTGTTGATGTGACAAAGGGGTCAGCCACAGCGGTCGCGGTCCAACTTTGGGATCCTTCCGGGGAGGTGGCTGTTGTGACGGCACGCAAGCTGGCCTCTCCGAGAGACGTTGCGCCGTCGGTTGACAAGAGACCACGAACCACAACCTCTGTTCCATCTGCCAGCACAGGGAATTCCCGTGGCGTCGCACCGTATACAAAGGCATCGCCTCCGAATGTGACTTGTACGTCCGAGAGAAGAATGTTTCCAAACTCACTCTCAAAGAAGCTTTCCATTTGAGCTGAGAAGCTGGCTGTTCCGTCTGCAACTGGGGTAGTGACACCACCATTCATAATTGCAATTGCGCGCAAGAGTTCCAGATCCGAACGGGGAGATCCCAAGGAGAATATCTTGACATCGCCTTCCTGGTTCAGTTTCCAGATATCGCTGGCGATCCTGGAGCGATTCGTGGCACCCGCCCCAGCCCAACTATTCGAGAGGACCACCATCAGTGTAACGACACCATTGTCTTTGCCTGCATCTCGGTTGGCACGAAGCAAACCTTCCAGCAGGGCTTCATGAAAGTTCGTGTTCCATGCGGTTTGTTCCAGCTGGCTCACAAATCGCTTGGCCTCGATTTTTTCGGTGTCTGTGGCCTTGGTGGATCCCCACAACTCTTCCGTGCCCTTTGCTCCAAAAGCTTGTATTGTCAGCGTATCACGTTCTGTCAAAGAGTCAATCGATGCGGCCAGCGCAGCTTTGGCTGCGTCAAAGAAGCCACTGTATCCATTCTGATTTGTGTCCACTAGGAAGAAAATATTCTTGGACTTGGGTTGGAGTGAATCGGGTAAGAAGCTGTATTCAAAGCAGTCGCCATCCCGATGCAAAACTCCCCCGTCAGGGAGGACGCCAGGGTTGAAGTGGCCGCTCGTGACTCGGGGCAAGTTATATTCACGGGCATCAGAAATCTCAAGCGAGAACGGAGACCTTACCAACCCGACGCTGAGGTCAGGACCGAGGTCCAGATTGAAGGGAGCTCCATCGCCGCTTGTGCCCATAGCGGTCTGGTTGGCGGTTGCGTACCCAGTCACCACTTCAACAAGGTCAGCGGTACCGACATCCAAAATGTTGACCACCAAAGACACTTGATCGACTTGTTCATCGGGCACAAGCGGAATCTGGAATTCAACCTGCCCAACTCTTTGACGAAGGATCTCTTCCAGCACCAGCTCCACCACGGTTGTTCCCATGGGCGGAAGAGACACCTGAAGGCTGTAAGTAACAGCATCACGGGCCTCAACGTAGGCTCCAGGCAAGCCTTGTGCGGCTGTCTCAACAAACGTTTCTCGTGCTTCTTCCAATGCTTGGACTTCGCCTCGTGTGGTGCAGCCGTCATCTGCTATAGTGCGGAGAGCCGCAACTCGTGCCGCCAAAGGCAGCTGCAAGGTGACGCCGTGGATGGAAGTGCAGTCCAGAGCATTTGCAACTTCCATTTTGATCACAGTGCGCGCCAGACGATGACTGATGGTGGCGTTGATGTTGTAGGCTGTAATGAGCGAAACTCCAGTGGCAAAGTTCATCGCGACTGGCGGTTCCATCTCATAGTCTTCGTTGTCACTTTTCGTTAGAACAACCAAAAGGACAATCACAAGGACCAAAGCAATCACAGCAACCAGACCAATCGCCAACGTGCGGCCACTCCTTCCCGCGTCTGTGGAGCGGCCTTGCCCAGTCATGCCGCCGGTATCATCTCCTTGGAGCTCAAGAATCGATTTTTCCACGGTAGGTGGCTTTGGGGCAACATTACCAGAAGACACCTCATTGGGCAGCTTTAGGATAACATTATCAGAAGACTCCTCGTTGGGCCGCTTTGTGTTTGTGTTATTCTCGATGTTTCCTTCCGTCATTGTCGCGATCTTTCTGGATTCTCTTTCTTTGGGTTCTGGTTCTGCTTTTCTCTCTTCTCAGTGAAGGTTTTTGTGAGAGATCTTTTTGAGGGAGACAAGAGGCAATTCTTTGTCGTGATGTTGGACGATGGTCATCGATCGTGGTCTGAAACATGTCTGGACGCTAAACAAAAACTCCGACTGAAATTCACTGGTACACAAAAGCTTTAATGTGCCAAAGATACTTAGATTGAAAACCCACGACACAGCCTCAGGTTTGGTACTGTACGGTAAAAACGTCCCGTACCGTACCGTATACTGTACTAGTACCCGTACGCCATACCGGTGTGCGCACAAGTAGAATTGTGAAGGAACCCACCGCGGCGGCATCGGTAAACTTGGATGCACCGAGTCGGCCCACAAACAAGCTTGGAAGTATCCTCAACCCCTTCATCGTCCTCGCTCATCATCGAAGCTGTACCTGGTACGGAGTGTGACCGTGAGGCTGGCTCTGGTGTGCATGATCGATGCCAGGGACAGCCAACTCTTTCGATTTACCAATTTTCCAGCATGGCTTGCGCTGAGCTATGATAAGCAAGGAACAACTTCGCAAGATTGCTCCCTCCCAGCCCTGAGAGCCATTTGAACGATGCAACTTCCGAAGCTGCTTCAAAATGGTTTCGTGCTTGATGAAGGTACCAATCAGGTACTGGACCGTCCGGTATCGTGGAAAAGCAGAGGCGGCCTTTGTGGAGACACCCACTGTTTGCTCGAATTTTCTGCACTCGATTTGTTCAGGAGCTTGCAGCAGATTTCAAATCCGGGCTGCCCATTTAAAGAAAAGGATTCTGAAGGGCTCTACATTATTATTCAGTGGTAACTTCTAACGTGGTTTCCCAGTCTATCGGGTGCCAAAGTAAGTTGCCGGCACGTCGTTCATTGGTTCCGCTGACCAAGTGCCCACAACGTTGTTGTCAATTCGAATGATTCCCTGTTGTCCGAAGTATACTCGGTCCTCATAACCTGGGAATGGACCTGATTGTTTGCTCAGATCCGAGCTTCTGGGACGAGCAGCATTACGTCGACGTGTCTCTTGCTTTTTGGAGAAGACAGTCCAGTGCTTTTGAAACAGATCAGTCAGTGGAACATCCATTGTGGGTCTCTCCCAAGCCTGTGTTTTTGGATTCCACTTCTTGGGGCCGTCCCTTTCTTTGTAAACTTCCTCCAAGGTTTCCTCCGCCTTCCATTCGTCGCTTCTGGCATTCGAAAAAGCTTCATCGAGCTTCTTGAGGACCTCCTGTGAGTATACCAAACCTTCCAATGACACGGTTGATTGAGCGGGAATAATGACATCTCCCTTTCGTAATTCTTCTGGAAAGGTCAGTGTCATTTGCAGATTTTGTGACATGGCATCGCTTTTCTTTCCGTTATTACTGATCTTCCAGCTTCCTCCTTGTACTGGCTTGACAATGCCTCCGGTAATGTCCGTGTACGAAACTGTATCGTATCGGGGCATTGCAAGTCCACTATCGGTGAATTCACACGGTATCACAACGGGAAGCCGAGCACCAGATGCCCCAAAGTCACCAAAGGGATTGATGGTAGATTTTCCAAAGTTCAGCGCCACCCTCCAAGCTGGGTCAAAAGTTGTAGTAGCGAGACCACTGATCTCTGCCGTGGCACCTCGTTCGACGGCTGGGACCACAAATGCGGTCGACAAGTGTAGTTGCAGCGAAAGTAGAAGAATCAAGTACTTCATGGTTTTGTTTCTGTGGAAATAGTTGATACAATATTTTTGCTTCCGCTACTTTTTTATGAGACGATCGGAGCAAACATGCCCAGAACTTTCGGTTCATCTCCACATCATCCTGTTGATGCCATCACCTATGCCATCTCAGCCCGTCGCTGTTGTTGCGATTGAATCATCTCTTTTGACAGCTGGCAAAGGCTCATTCCGACCAAGTCATCAAGTATTTCAGACGTGGATACTGGAATTCAGCCTTACAGGCTTGTTTCCTTTCGCAAAGTGAAGGGGGAGGCAGGGTCTGCGGAGCCCGATGAGGTCGAGAGACCAGTACCAGCGGAGCGATCAATTCTTGGTATGCCGCAATGGCTGAACATGTCAATACGGAAAGCAGATATTTGGAAAAAGCAGTAAAATACCTGATGTTTTCGCAGGGATCCAGGGCGGCTGGAAGGTTCTACCGGTAGGATCCTCAATAATAAAGGGAGGACACTGATTATTTGGAATTGAGCCTGCTTGAAGTCAGGAGCGGGCTGAAAGGAAAAGACCTGAATGATACCGGTACGTATTGGGACTGAGGAACACATCCTCTGAATGCAGCATAAGAGCGAGTTTGGTCGGAAAACTAACTCGCCTTGAGCTCTTGAGCTCATTGTCGGCTCCCCAAGCCAACTTCAAGTGGTTGTAACCTCTCAACCTTCCAAGTTACTAATTTGATGTCTCCTCTTTGGTTTGTCGTCTTTGTTGAAGCAAATCTGCGCTCATGTTAACCAGAAATAATTTGAAAGTTGCGTAGTAGTAAGTGCACTCCCGTTCTTTGTCAAGCAGTCACGAGCCAAATCTGACGGAACTAAGTGAATGTTTCCGCGTGACCAGAAAGGGTCCTCAGAAGATTGACCGAAAGCCTTGTTCGAAGAGGTCTGATTGTTGATCCATACCAACGTCATCAAGCAATTCAAATGTCCATTTCTAGAAATTAAAAATGATCAATTGAAGAACTTTGTAGATTAAAGTTTGTAAATATACAGCCATTTTGGTTTTTGAAGGATCAAACAATTAGTGTCAGGACGATCTAAATGCACGGAAGTTCTGAAACAGACGTCGTTGAACAGGCGGAGTTGTCGCCCTTCCTCAAAACGGTTGTTGACATCGGAAGTCACCACAACCGCATTCTCATAAAATCACTCCGCGAGTATAAAGACAAGTGTGGAAGAGGGTTTCCTGAGCCATCCCTCTAAAAACACCACGACAGCATCCAAGCAACGCTATCGGTATCGCATAATAATAACAAATACGACTGCCAGCAAACGCAGCCGGATTAGTTAACCAGCACCACTCAGCAGAAGTGCTTTGCGAGGTTGCGAATTCTACCCATTTCCACTACAACAGTCTTTCTCATCACCATGGCCAACCCAATGGACGACTGCGACTTCAACGAGATCGAGGACAAGGCGGTCCGTGCCGACCTCCTTCGTGGAGCTCTTCCTGCATGTCAGCCACAAGAAGGCAGTCCTGCCAACACGTTTACTGCGTCGGAGATGGAAGAGCTTCAAGCGGCTCTTCCCAACATGCAAATCGGACCTCTCAAAAAGACACAGGAAGTCAAAAAGGCCGATTTTGACATTTGTCACCATGCTTGGCCCACCGACAAGAAGGAGCAAGACAAGAAGCTATCGTCCGTGGCGTCGCCGCAGGAAGCACCGTTGGATTGGCACGGGGCTCCTGATTTTACTCTCCGACCTCCTGACGTTCCACGGGCGTTTCGTGAGAAAGTTCGGGCTGGAGCGTTTGTGGCTCCAACCAACGCTGTTTGCCCAGGATTCTTGCAATGCAATTTGGTGGTCCTTCCTGCAGGTCCTCTTGCCTTTGATTTCTTGCTCTTTTGTCAACGCAACCCCAAGGCATGCCCTTTGATTGAAGTGGTGGACGAAGGATTCTGCCCCACTGGAATTGCTCCTGGATCGGACCTTCGTACGGATGTTCCAATGTAAGAATATGATGGCTCATGTTGCGAATTGACTTGTGTGAGATTTAGCGTATTAACAGCCTATCTCTCTTTCTGTTTTATACTCAGGTACTCTATCTACAAAGATGGGAAGTTTGTAGAGGACGTGACGGATGTCACATCTTATTGGCCCGAAAAGGCTGTGGCGTTCCTCATTGGTTGCAGCTTTTCCTACGATGGTGCTCTTATGGATGCTGGCGTTCCCTTGCGCAGTGCAGAGCAAGGTAAAAATGTCCCCATGTACAAGACCAATCTCAAGTGTCGCCCCGCGGGCAAGCTTCAAGGCAATACCGTGGTCAGTATGAAGCCCATTCCAGCCTTGAAGATTTCCAAGCACGTCGAGATCACCTCCAAGTACACGCACGCCCATGGAGGACCTGTGTGTATTGGACGTCCTGATGTCATTGGTGTACAGAACCTCGACAAACCAGAATGGGGAGAGACGGTCGAAATGGCTCCGGATGAAGTACCTGTCTTTCATGCCTGCGGTGTCACTCCTCAGAGCGTCTTGATGGATAGCAAGGTTCCATTCGCTATCACTCACAAGGCTGGCTACATGTTTGTCACTGACATGCCTTCAGATATGGGATGTTAATGAATCCCAAAAGTTCGTTGAAACCTGCCAAGTTTTCTGGGAAGTATTTTGCATAGAGCTTTCCAAACCATTTTATACTACTACTAGCATTAGACGAGAAGCGAAGATAAACTACATAATAGCAATACATGGCTTAGGGAAAACGTAAAAGCTAGCTAATTTCACTTTTGCCACAGTCCCTATTGGTACTGTACCGGTACACTCGTAGATGACAAGGCGGGATACTACCGTATCATACGGAATGCATGGACAGCAGGTAGCGGCGCCTGTACAGTACTGAGCTCGGTGTGGCTCGTTGCCTCTCCAGCTGGACGCCATCTTGGTCAAATGTACTTATTTGTTGCACCTCGGAATTGCGTGAATACTACATTACACGTAGACTACCGGCAGACTATGCAACTCAGACAGAACAATTCAATAGGCGAGAGAGGTCCAATTCATCGCTTATTATCACAATATTATTTTAGTTGGGTCCGTTCTTTTGCGGAAAGCCTTGTTGCCCTCGCGTGCATTAACTCCCGACCCTTCAGAGATACTCGGGAGAGGTTTAGTTTGTGGACAGCTTTTCGACCAACTTGAACCGGAGATGACGGTATCTTATTATTCTTTTGGGTCTGCCCTACTAGTAGACCACCTGCTGCTAGCAGTACCTGGTACCGGTAGCCAGCTACGACCGGTACCGGTATGGCGTTGCAGCATATCCTTGGGACCAGAAGCCTCCGTCGTGGCTCATGTCTAGCTTTGTACCCTGAAACCATGGAGAACAAGCAAGCGCAGCGCAGCGCACCGTTCGTTCAGCCAAGCTCTTCGACTCTTGTTTCGGCAATACTACTGTACTTGCGATGGCTGCTGCTGCTGCTGCCAGTCCTTCGAACCTAGCTAGCTAGAGCCCGAGTCGAGGAACAATGGAGCGTTCCTACAGTGGAACTGCACTTTGCCGTTACAGTTTTTAGTAACCAAGCTACAGGATCTATGGGTTCTTTAGGAACAAACATTCAATTACACCTGCGAGTCTTGGTTTTCCAGTTTATTGATACTGATCTCTGCCGCCCTCACGATGCCACCACAAAGTGAATGTATGGTGGGGGTGCTCCTGAGCTACGATGGTCCCTTCGAACCAGCAGATCACCCCAGAGTGAACAATTGCTGCGTTAGAGCCGCCCGACCTGCCTGAAGAAGTTCCCCACTCCTCTTTCATCACTTTCGTCAGGATCAGACTTGATCCTACTTGTTGTCGTCCTAGGCTTTGGCGGAGGCAACCAGTCATCTTCGTCGTCGGAACCACAGAGATCAATGGCATCGTTGCTCGTGCCTTCGTACTTGGAAGCTGCTCGAGCTGCGCGCGCTAATGCATTCGCATTCCCTTCAGTGCCGGGCTCTGCTTTCACTTTCTGGAGTGGAACAACATCCACTTCTGCATCGGAATCGCATAGGTCGAAGGCATCGCCACTCTTCTTGGCTGCCTCCTCTCGTTTCTTGATCTTGGCATCAAGACTCTCGACTTCCATGACTTCCAAGTCCATTTCCTCGCGTTGGATTCCCATGAGCGCACTTGATTCCTTCTGGACCTCCAAGAGTCGGTGAAGCTCGGGCAGAAATCTGTCGCGACAGTCTCTCGTCTTTCTTTGCAAAGCTGGATCCGTAGCTTGCTTGGCAGCTCCTGAAGCATCGTCCCAGCAGATACTAAACACACTACTATAGCTCTTGTTGATAACGGACGATGCATTGGCCAAAAACGCGCCAATCTCTTGCACCATGGAAGCAATTGCCCGTTTCATAGATCCCAATGTCTCAGAGAATAGCGAAGCAAAGGTCTTGCGTGACGTCGTGTCCATTGCCCCTTTCATGCGATTGAACTTGCCACTTCCACCTGGTACGCTTCTTGTTGCCTCGTAGCTGCCCATCATCTTCTCCTTGATCTGTGGCAGAACCCCACGAGTGAGCTCTCGCTGGAGCGTTGTGGCAGTATTGTTCATCAATGCAAAGGCAGCATTGAGTGCAGTCGTGCTACCGCGAACAGCGGCCGTCATCATGGTGGTAAGCCTTGCCTGCTCCAGACCAGCATCGCTGAGAGCAATCAAAAGGTCCCCTTTTAGAGTCTCGCAAACCTTGACGACTTCCGCTCTGGCTACAGCAAGCAGATTGCGTGTGCTGGCATCCATGACACTTTGCCAGTTGCCCGCAAATGCCTTTTCCATAGGTTCATAGAGCTCCGCATTCATGTTGACCTCTCCTGCAGACGGAGAAACATACTCTCCATCCCGACGAACCACTGCATTGTACGTCGAATGGTGCAGCCCTAGTTTTAGCAAGAATGCAAATAGCGCAAGGAGTTGCGGTGAGGCATTTGCTCTCGAAACAAAACGAGCTCTCCCTGTCAAACTCACCATTCTTGTCTGGTCGGCGTTCGTTCTTGCTGCGACGGTTTTTGCAGCCCCAGGAAGTTACAGTTGCCATGGCTGCTGTGCTTCCCCTTTCAGCACCAGCTGGCAAGACAAACATGAGGATGAGTACACAAAATCCGAGTAGGGGTACCGATATGAGCGGCATGTAATCTTCACTCGCGTCTCGTCTGCACTTACCTGACAAGGACGGGAGGAGACTTGTTTCGATCTTGCTCTGAAGCTGGCGCTGAAACGTAGTGGATATAGATTCAATCTTGGACTCGATCTTCTTCATCTCCGTTTCAAATGTTTTCTGCAGCCGGTAGGCCCTTCTTCCCGTTGGAGCGTCTTTGGAGTCGGTTGCTAGAAGTTTGACTCGGTCCAGTAGATCGCCCACCGTAGAGACATAGTCGCGGGCGAATGTTTTGCATCCCTTGCTGGTTGTTTCGTGAACAAAGTTGCGAAGCAGAGGAATTTGGGTGTCGACAGGATTGCTGAAAGTGTTGGGAGGCCCATCACTTTGCGGTTTGATCTTTAAAATTTTCATGTAATCATTGGATGAAATGGCGAAGACATCGAGCTCATAGTCTTCCGGCAGTGCTGTACGAGTGGATGCAGCATTGGTGTCATCACCATCTTCATTGCGGAGGAGGTCCTTCAAACCATTCTTGAAGTCTTCTTGCAGACAAGCCCGACTGTATTCGTTCCGTACGTTTGCACAGAATGTCTTGAGCTGTCGCTGAAGCTTCTCACAGCGTCGCTTGGACATCAAGAGTGGTTCCGAGTTGTCGTCTCGCCATTGCTTTAACTTTGCTTCATTGTCGGCTCGTTTGGACTTGGCATCACATAGAGCATATTTCAGACCTTCTCGTTCTTCCTCGTCACATTCGCCGGATTCCTTCGAGTCCTCAACGAACTCCTTCAACTCAACCTTGGCTACTTTGACAAGTTGAACGGCATCATCAATGTTTGCCTTCAATTCCTCCTCTTCCTGTAGCCTGTCGTGTTGCTCTGTCTCAATGGTTTGGATATCTTTCAGAAGTTGCTGCATTTTCTCCCAACGGCCGGCGACTTGTTTTGCCACATCAGCATGGTCTCGCATTGTTTCAGTTGCTTCAATGTCATCTGTTTGAGTGCAAATGAAAAAGAGATTGCCATATTGCCCATCCATGAGAACCCGTCGTTTGAATTGCTCTCCCATAAGCTCCTTGGCGGTCCCATCATCCACGGCCCTCTTGATTGGGGCCACAATGCAAATGTTGGAACAGTTCTGAAGATAGGTTTCTGAAACCTTGGCCCGAGCTGCATTTGCATCTCGAACCCCTGGCAAATCCACCAAGCAGGCTCCAGTGGACAGCACTTCCCAAGGTCTGAACATGATTGTACAAAGAAAAGGCATTAGGATGGATCCGTGCTGTACTAAGCGGAAAGGGATACATGTACACACGATGCTTTACGTACCCGTACAATACGACTTTTCGAATGAGTGGCCAAGTTTGTGGGAGATTGCCGTTGCCTTTGCGGTACACATAATCACTGTAGGGCAATAGAAAAGAAACTACACGGTAAGGGCACATGGCACACCAAGCACACCTGGAACCACAATGTACAGGCACCTACTTGATGCTCTTTCGAAAGCTATCAGCATATCGCTTGAGCGTGCGGCGATCTCGGGTGCTAAGCTGAGCATAGGACATGGCAAACGCCTTTGCCTTGTCGGATCCCGCGATGACTTTTCCTTCCTCCACCGGGATTACATTGTAGGGCTCTCCAGGGGCACTGGGCGTAAGTAGCTGCCTCACTCTATTGTTGCTGGAGAGACGATTGAAGACATAGGCAGTCGACTGAGTCAAGTAGCCTTGCATAGTACCTTTGCCGTACACTATGAGGCAAACAAAACAAGAGAGAGGACTTCAGGGTAAGTGTATGGTGTTTTGCTAGTTCAACATACTGAATGCAAACAATGCTCACCCTGATCAATCTTGGCCCAGGCTGCTGCAGCATCAGGTTGCGCGGTTTCGTCTGGAACTCTTGCATATATTTGCTTCTCTTGAGTGCTGCATTCATCCACTAGAAGCTTCAGCTCCTTGGTCCAGTCATCCAGTCTCATGAACTCGACCTCCCCGCGATAGACTGCTACTTCCTTTGGTTGTGACGGTTCCTCTTGCTGGTTCGTTGCTTGTGATGATTCCAAGAGCGCAGAATTGAACACCAGTTCCACAACGGCAGCAGTGCACCCGCGACTACCGGATGTAGGCAGAACAGCAGCTTCATCCAATAGCGCATTTAACAGGGAGGATTTGCCTCTGTCAAAAGAGCAGAGTAGCACAACATGAGACGACAAAACACATTTTTCTAGGTGCTGGAACTGGTCACTTACACTCCTGTATTCCCAAGCACTCCAATAATGGTTCGGGGCCGATCCGATTTCCGGAGGTCCTTGAGCTCGCTGCTCCATTCCTCTCGGCGGTGGTGAGCGCAAAAGAGCTCATGATCCTTGGTCTCTTCCAAGATACCTTCAATTCCATTTAGAACAAGTCGGGCTTTCTCCATGGCGGCATCAGCTTCAGCGTGTGGGTTGACTACGGCCTTGGTTACTTCAACCAAAATGTCATCTTCGTCGTCCTTGGACGCGGGCATTTTCTTGTCGTCATCGTCATCATCGGATAGTAGTTCCTCAATGCTAGTGTGTTGGTCGGCACTTTTGGGTGTTGCCTTTTTCGTTTCGCTCCGTTCTGTGCTGGAAGCGTCCTCCAATTCCATGGCATCATTGAGTCCTGTAGCGCCGTCTAGGACTTGGGTCGCCTCATCGCTTCTCTTTTTGCCATCGGACTGGGCCGCTGCATCATTCATTGTCTCCTCGCTTTTTGCCGGTTCATCGTGCTGTTTGCCAACTTCCTCTTTACCAGGAATGGGCTTGTTGATGTCTTTGTTGTCGCTCTCCATTGTGGCATCGCCGTCATTGTCATTGTCGTGTACAGAAGGGTTTGCGTTGGCTTGAGCATTGGAGCTGTCTGGCGTGTCTTCCTTGGCCATTTTTCCATCCAGTGTCTGTGGTTGCAACTGCGAAGTATCATCGACCAATATATCTTTGCCAATCATTTCCTTGCCATTTTCCTGCTTGCTGTTGTTATCCATTTTGACTTGATCCTCGGAAGGCATCAACAATGACGAGGTCAGTTGTGATGTAGCGTCATTGTCATTGTTGACAGTAGTAGCGACTGTTGGAACTGTCACTTTGTCGGCGTGTCCAGGAGTAATGGTGTTGCAAGCAGCAGAAGCCGGCTCTTCTTCCATCTTGATTCTCTTGGATGGCTCATTCTCCACGGCAGCCTTTTCAGATGAAGTTCGCTTATTGCTGACCTTTCTAAGACTCAATGCTAGCTCCAGGTTCAAGCAGCTCCAAGCCATCTTTCGCGCTTCTTGCTTTCTCGCAATGCGCAATCCATTGATCCAAAAGGCCCACTGCTCGTTCTCATCGCCAGGGAACATGTCTTCATCAAATTCTTCCAGCAACAACTGCCGAAGATCTGCCAACGTATGATGTGGACCAATTTCCACCGAAGCCTTGCCATGACCATAGTCAATCACCAAGTCCTCTCTGCGCTTGTCCTCGCTTGTTGGGTCCGTCATTTCCTCTGTCGATGCCATAGCGTCCTGCAGCTCAAATAATATGAAGCTGTGACAAGTCTCTCCTGTCTTCTCAAAGGTCAAAGCGACGAAGCTTGAGCTTTGAAAATGGCGGTTTGGCTCGAAAGTTCCCGCCTAACTCTAACCCTAACCCTACCATCCCGTTAGGTAGGTACCAAACTGTACTACGACCCAGCCAGCATGAGAGAAGACTTAGCTAAACGTGTCTCCCATTTCACGTTGTCCTTGGGATGACCTGCGATGGCGGATCGATCACAAACGCTTCTAAAGGGTAGGCAACTGTTCCTTCCTTCCCACCCTTCAGCAACCTGTCGGTATTCACAGGGCGAGCTGGCTAGCTATGCATAGCTACGTAGAGCACGCTGTTGGCTAACGGTTTTTCGAGAGCGGCCAACCTAACGAAGAGCGGCAAGACTGCAACCCACATTTTCTTACAACTTCGTCATCACGTTCTACGTTTCTAAAGAGTCGAGTACGCAAGGCCATCACCGTTTCAAATAGTCCGTAAGGCTTCACCATTGATATCCTATGCCCCACCCTTCACCCACGGGTGATCCTGGATCTGGGAGAGTGTCAGTCGCTTTGCAGGGTCTGCCAAAAGCATGTTCTGCACCAAATCAATTGCTTCCTCACTGACAGGTTTCTCACTCGGGATCAATGCTTGGAACTTGTCTACCACTGACTTTAAATTGCCACGCACACACATTTCCTGGAACTTTGGATCCTCTGGGATTGGAGCTGCAAACAGCATGTCACCTCCAAAAAGCAACAGGTAGAGCATCACCCCAGCAGCCCATATATCCACAGCAAATCCATCAAATGGTTGATTTAGAAAGAGCTCAGGAGCCACATACTCTGGTTGCTTCCCACAGCCCCAGCTGGGTTCTATCAAATGCCTGACACTACCATCCTCCGATGTAGGGATTCTCACGCACCAACCAAGACTCGAGATATGGCAGTGTTCACCGCGGATCAACATCCTCTCGAGACTAAGATTGCGGTGGCAAAGACCCACTTTTTGCAAGGTTGCCAATCCCTGTAATAGAAAGGAGGAAGCGGAAGAATTGGGAATCAGGTTCAATTCTTCTTCTAGACTTTGCCTAGTTCCGCTAGAATGACGCAACGCCGGGAGATGACGCCAGTATCCTAAAGCGACAGGATTAAACACAAGGAACCATAAAAACTGAACATACCTTGACGATGTCACAAAAGAATTTGCATGCTTCGGCTTCTTCGAGTCTTCCATTCCTCCCGCTGGCACCCATTTTGTCCAACAGACTTCCCTCCTTGCTGTGATAGGCGGAAAAAAGCGAAATGTGAGCAGCATGCTAAAATTAAAATGGTGGCATCGTGATGAGTGCAAACGAATACCAACGTCTCAGTTTCCTTTTTCTTACCAGTATGGCATGATTATGTAAACCATCACATCATCAGTGACAACATACTCTGCCCCAAGTACATGTCCAGTACCATCAGGATCCGCAGCCTTGATCATTTGCAATGCGGATATTTCGTTCTTAGGATTTCTCATTAGGGAAATTTTGCTGACTTCTTTTTGTTTTTCGTCCCCGTTCGCTCCTTCCTCGTCCTCATCATCATCATCTGGGAACACTTTGGCGTGTGGTTGAACCTTGATGGCCGCCATCTCAAAGGGATACTGGCCGCCTTCAGTCCTTTTTACAGTCCATGCCCCCAGCATTTCTTCGTCTTCGATTAAAGCTGGCTTCAGTGGAAACCCTACTCTCACATAGTTGCGACTGTGGGTTTCTTCTGTGAGCTTGCGCTGCATCCAGAAAGCTTTTTTGCCTTCCTCCGTCTCTGCTACCAAAACATTGCCTGCAATACTAGATGCCCGTCGCAACTTGCTGGGGTTGTTTTCTACCAGGGCACCCGCAGACGCCTCCTTCCAACTCGCCTCCATGTCCTCGTCTGCAGCTGCTGTCCTCCAACTCATCTCCAAAGGACCAGACGAATTATTTGTGGAATCCGGGACCTCCACATGTTCAGCAGTTCGTTGCCCATCCAGTACTTTGGGAGGTGGGAAACTTGGTGGAGATAACGGTGGGCCTTGTGCAATACCTTCTGTCATCCTTCCTGTCAGAGGCGATAGAGACGGCTCCTTGCTTTGCGGTGGCGGTGGGTGTTGGGTTGGAAGGCGATCTTCGTGTCTTCTTCGACTTCGGAATTGGCTCGCCGGTTGCTGGTTGCCTGGTGCTTTTCAAAGATTGCTGCTCCTCGAGTTTGCTTTGGAAGTGGTACCGCCTCAAACCAGCCTTACTGGCTTTTAGCTCTCGTGTCAATCGCGGTGGCCGTAACCGCTTTCTCATTTCTTCGGAAACCTAACCAAGACGAAAGACCTTGACAAGCCTAACCATGGACCCTTCAGCTCTCTTTTCGGCTCTTGACAATCCAGTGCCTACGAGCAGTTGGACTGTTTCCAAAGATCAGCCATTGGCGATGGTGTTGATGGCCAAGGCAGATTTGGAAACTGTCAAGACATTCTACGAGTTCTACCCAGAAGCTTTGACCAAAGAACTCTTCATCAATGTCCTCAAATGTGGAGCCAAGCCGGGAGTTGTCGGCTTTCTTGCTACAATGCGTCCTGACTTGGTTGGTGATAAGGCCTTTGTGTTTGCAGTGAATCAAGGACCAGGACCCAACAGACCCACCGACAAGGAAATTGTCACAATGGCGAATATCAATCCAGAAATATTATTGATGCCTACGGGTCAAGACTATGTGATGTCAAATTGCTTGTGCTCTGTGCTGACCTGGAAGTACAGCCTGGAATTAACTCAAAGTCTTTTCAAATTGATTGCGGGCAAAACAAAAGAAATTGTTTTTCCCGTTGATGTTTTTGATGATATTGATGCTTCCCCATGGGTTGTTGTTGATGAGAATTCCCGTACAAAGCGGGCAGCATTTGATAAAGAGGCTCTTGGGGGAATGGAGCCACTTCTGGACAGCAACAACCTACAAAATATGAGAAACGCTTGCGGCAAATGGGAATTGGATGCATTTTTGGAGTTTGTCCGCAAAGTCCTGTGCAACCAGAGCATTTGCAAGTTGCTTCTGAACTTTCCAGAGCCCTCACTAGACCAAGAGGGACAACCGAACTTCTTTCACTCAGATTCATTCAAGCAAGCACTATCAAAGTGCAAGATAGAAAAATTGCAGATATATGTGGACCAAAATGATCCACTCGCTCTTGGGTTCCTGCAATGTTGCCTAATTCAGATGCCATGTCTGAAAGATTTGAGTGTGATTGTTGATTCTGATATTGCTGCTTCTAAAGCAACACCTGTACTTGGACATTTCATGTGCAGTAACTCACAGTTGGAGACCTTGTTAATTCGAGCAACAAGTGACACAACGGGAAAAGGACTGGATCCCATCCTTAGTGCATTGGAGAATGACCAAACCCTGAATTGTTTCTACTATCGACAAGGTGGCTTTCAACCCGACAGGTTCAAGAGATACCAGGATATTCTAGCAGTGGTTCTCCAAAACTCCAATGACACGCTGAACCATGCCAAATTTAGTGATGGTTGCACTGATGAAGATTTTTTAGGCAATCTTCGCAGCCCTCTGCATCCAAGCCAACACTTGCTGCCCTTCTACATATCCCTCAATCGGCTTGGGCGCAAGGAAGCAAGTGATCCAGAAACCACCATTGCAGAATTTGTAGACCTGCTGGTGGAAGTCAAGGAGGACACAATTTTCTTTGATGCAGATGAGACCCACAAGGACCCTGCCACAACTGAAGATATCTCCAACATTTTGTATGGACTCCTTCGTGAAAACCCAGCCAACTGGAGTAAGCAAACCAGCAGCTCTGAGCCCAACACAAAGAGTGGAAGCAAACGAAAGCATAGTGCCCTGTCATGATTGTTCGTGGCGGAGGTGCCGGTATTTGCCTTTGTGGCGCATACGTGACATCCTTGGTCTGCTATCGTGGACTTTTTTGCGACACCCACCACATCCACAGATCCTGGTCCAACTAGCCAAAATCCTGTGATGGAGGGAGTTCGCGGCAATACACAGATTCCGGTAGCGTAGATAGCTCCTTCGAAAGCCCGTTCTGCCTTGACTTAAGCTTGCTCCGATTGCAGCTTCTTTCGTCGCGGTCGTATGTGTTCCTTAGCTTCTGGAGTGACGCAATGATTAGTCATCTATCTGCCGCAATCCCTGGTGGCATCCTTGGTGGCGCTCTTTCTTTTTGCTGCCTGCATGACGTTGCACCAAATGAGGTCTAGTTAATGCATCACTACTAGTAGTTAGGAAATCTATTAGGAATCGAACTGGGCGGAAATGACAGGTACCATCGCGCCATCGAAGCTGCTCTTCTGCTTCGTCGTTTGGTCCGCGCCTCGAGCTTTGGCTGCCCATCCTTGCGTACTTCGGCAATCGCCAGGATTTGTTCGTACTGGTATGGTCGTGGCTTTCCCTGCTGTTGCGTATAACATCGGGCCATCCTATGTTACATCAGACTGGCACGTAGGGAATTGCCCACCAAGGCCGTTATGAACATAGATGGCTGGGATGCAAGCTTGCTTGATTTTGCGCGTCTTCGACCTCGTGTGTACCGGTATACGATGCAAACTGCCTTTGGAGCACACGCCATGTTGACGGTGATTTTATTATTTATCCATTTTTTGTACGATGCCTTTGCAAGCATCTTTGCAGTGGTTTCCTATGGGGATGGATTTGCGTTTCCTTTCGCCGAGAGACATGATCACAGATCACGGTGGTCCCGCCACCCAAGCAAGTTGAGAATGGAAGTAATCAAACTTCCTACGGTACGACGAAGCAGAGACCAATCCTTGTCGCGACATGAAGGGAGAAACGCGGCACAAAGCAAAGCAGCAATGAACCCTTCGTACCAGGCTTCGGGGCAAGAGAGTCGTACTCAACTGATACAAAAAAGCGGACTCCACTGGTAGGAATGGAAGCAAACTTCCACGGTATTACGAAGCAGCCAGAGACCAATCCTTGTCGCGACATGAAGGGAGAAACGCGGCACAAAGCAAAGCAGCAATGAACCCTTCGTACCAGGCTTCGGGGCAAGAGAGTCGTACTCAACTGATACAAAAAAGCGGACTCTTCTCCACTGGTAGGAATGGAAGCAAACTTCCACGGTATTACGAAGCAGCCAGAGACCAATCCTTGCCGCGACATGAAGGGAGAAACGCAACGCAACGCAAGGCAAAGGCAAAGGCAAAAGACGAGCAATGCACCCTTCGCAGCCAGAAGGCTTCGGGGCAAGATAGTCGCACTCAACTGGTACGTAACAGCGGACCCAGGCAGCAAGTACTGCACCCCTGGTAGGCAACCACGTTCGTTTTGTGTAGTCGATGACGGCATCCATTGAGGATCTGGGCAACTGATGATCCGAACGACGGCTGCTGGGGAAAGTTCCCAGTCTAGCTACTGTAAGATTTGACATAAACTCGGCAATATAAGTGAGTGCATAGGTAAAGTGGCGTGTCCACAGTTGAACAGATTGTTGCTTGGATGGATCATCATGGGCAAGGGTGCTGTGAAGCACGCCTTAGCTCAAATGGATCATCTCATCCCATTTGTGTGTGTGCAAGATGGAGCTCCAGTTCTTCAGAAGTCTACCAAGATCTCAAAACAAGGCTCTGTCTCGGCATCCTATGTTACCAAGCCCTGCATATACCGGTACCGTGACAGGTATCGGTACCGCTACAATAGTGCCAAGCCGACCAACCAAGAGGGCCAAAATGAGGCTTGGGAAACCCTGAGAGCAACTCAACAGCTTTGCTAGCTTTAATTGACACCACTGACGTCTTTCGGACCGTTCAAAGAGATCAGTGGTCGTCAAGAGGCAACAAGGATGAAGATCTCGTATCTCGACCACTTTGCATTCTAATCGAAGCAAATCTCCACAAGGAAGCCCAAACAGCAGCAAAAGCAACCATGAGAATACCCACGTCGCCTGGTCGACTGTGGTTCGTGGCAGTGCTCTTGACCATCTTGGCTTCCCACGCGAGTGGATTTGTATCGCACCATCGTGGAGCTTTAAAGGGCTCTCGTCATGCCTCCTCGGTAAATCCAAGGCCCTTCAGCACGGAGCTATACTCTGAAGCTAACAACGGGGGAGGCAAGAAGGCAAAGAAATCCATCAAGGCAACTACCAAGAAGAAGAAAATAAAGAAGAAGAAGCTTAAGAAGCGAGCGGCGGATGTGGTTGTAGCGGCCCAAAGTACTAGAACGACAACCAAGGTCGCTTCTGCGCCACCACCACAGCCTGTCCCAGAACCACCTGTATCGCCCATACAGGAACAAATTCAAGCTCGGAATCTGGTTCGAGCCCCTGCTGATTACGAACCTGTCACATCTCACAAATCTCGTCCTGGCATTGACGTGTCGCTCTTGGGTGATTTGACGGGAGGTCGACCCGGAGCCATTATTGAAACGGAAGAGCAATTGGAGCGGAAACAGGAAATTTTTGAGGAACTCGACACGGGAGTCCGTCAATACAATGCCGAGACCATGAGTCAGTACGGGACACCCCAAGAATTTCTAGGCGGGGCGTTTGACGAAGATGATCCCACCGCCATTGACATGGCTACGTTGGGGACTTGGACCATTCGCGACCTTCAGGCCAAATTCGAATACGAATGGGACCCCGAACAAGGAGATCCCGATCCCAATCATTTGGAAATGCTGCAACCCGGAGTCAAGTACAAGGAAACCGTGGAAGTCGACGACGACGGCGTCGAACTAGGCTTTAATCCTCTCTACGGACCCTCCAGTGCCCTAGACACCCGTACCATTCTGGGAGCTCAAGAATCATACATGATCAATGACAAAACCAAAGACGACAGCATGCTTCCACCGCAATTCCCAGAGGGAGATTTGGAAATTGACTACAATCAGGAAGTTGTCAATTTCCGCAAATCACTCGATATCATTGAAACCTACACGGACGAATTCTTGCCTCCCGAAATGCCCATTCCGCGTCATGTCGCCAAATGGCATGGATACCCTGAACCCATGTCCTATCCGCATCAAACGAAACGACAAAATCCCTTTGTCGATCCAGAAACGGCCACGGACTTTTCCGTATTGACGCCGTACCAAGCCCGTCGCAAGGCGGTGGAATTGGCACGAGCCCAAAATTCCGATTGGTTGCCCAATGGCAAAAGTCAAGCATGGCATGCGTCCAAGCGGGAACCCTACGAAAAAATTGGCACGTTGGTGGGAACATTGCGCAAGGCCGATGACATTGATGAAACACTGGTCAAGGCCATTCAACCCGTCTTGGACGTGCTCGGAAGTTGCGTCGAATTGTTGAGTATTGAAGGAGAAGATCAAACGGTATTTCGTTTCTGGTATCATGGATTGATGAAAAATCGACATGGGATTGCGGCATGGACGGAAACCATGATTCGAGAAGATTGCAATGTGGATGTGACTGGTGTCATCTTTGAAACGGGGTTCCGAAGACGAGATTTCGCGTACGAAGGAGGGGATCATTGGTATCCACCAAAGACGTAAGAATCGAATCACACACAAAGACAGAAGACAGAATGTGTGCATGCATGCATGAGAAGATGATGTTGTCTGTTTGTTGTGCGCTTGAATTAGAGAGACTGGTTTGCTTCCAGGTAGAGCAGTTTAGTTGACAACAATCGTTCAAACATGGTTGTACCTGAACTCAACTGTTAGTGACGCTGTCTAGTTGAGAGCCAATAGTTTTCCATGGCAAATGTACACGTTCTCGCCAAACTAAACAATTTTAAAATTGTAGAGGCTAGCTAGCTAGACAAGGCACACGGGGGTGAAACTTCTGGAAAGTCTTCAGGGCAGCCTGGACCCTGTAGTACCACAGCAGCCTGATGGCAACTCGGCTTTAGTGACGAATTGACTTCCAGCTAGCAAGTTGCTGCAACAATAGAACATTATTTGGAGGGCAGGTGGCCAAAATTGTGGACTTGCAACCCCACCTCTGTCCAATGTCCTGTTGTTTAAAGCTCCCATAACCTCTTGAAAAGCATGCTTAAATCCCTCCGACAGTCCAGCAAAACAACACGACTGAAGCCACGAACTTCTTTCGCACCTTCGCACCACATCCATCCTCATCTCGGTCTTGGCACAATCTGACAATCCAAACTCGACCATGCTGCCTCGTTATCTGTTTCTCTGTGCACTGCTATGTGCAGCAACAGCAGTCAGTGCCCAACCAGACAACTGCGGAGCTTCTTGGGATAGCAGTGCCACCGAAATCAATGGATGCAACGCCAAACTCGAAGAGGATCATCCTTGTTCTTTCCGAGACGATGCTTCTACTTCAATCGCTCCTGCTACCGAAGAAGATCGACGCACGGTGGATATTCGATATTTTTCGTGCCAAATTTTATCACAAGGCGAAGATGAATGCACCCAGACCGAAACCTTTGTGGTGCATGGCAACGCGATTCTGCTCATTGACGGAATGCTGGTTCAGCGACAACCAGGCAGCAACAGCACAAGCGATCAGATTTGTTTTCTCTACGATCACCATGACGGCAAGTCCCCGACGGAAGACTGTCGCATGGAGTGTCTGAGCATTGAAGAGAATCTTGGAACCGAAACGATAATCAACACCAACAGCGTGCAGGGGTTGCCCAACTATGGATCGGCCACCAGAAATCGGCATGTGATCATTACGACAACCGGAATCAGAAGCGCAGCTTCTCGCAATACCCAAGTTGTTTCCTGGCTCTTGGCTGCCATCACCATGGCAGTTGGCATGCAGTGGCTCTAGCTAGGCTAGCTAGCAATACGGTACGGTGAATTTCGATGAGGATGCGGCCTAGGACAATCGACAATTCGACTTTTTGTCTTCTTTCAAAACCGGAATTCTTGCCAGTCCTCAAGATGGTTGTGTATGGCAGAAACTTGCGATCCAGTGTATTTAGCTAGTAGAGTTCTTTGCATCAACTTCCACATCTTCTCATCGGAATGTGCGTAATAGTAGAGGCAATTGATTTTTTGAATAGCACTGTGTTTTGGCTGGAACAGATTCTTTGGTTGCAAAACTTCTTCTCTGCTTCTCTCTACAACATTGAACCCTGGCAGAATGGGCGAGAATGTTTAACCGGAGCATCGACTGGTATCTCGGCGCGACAGCACGAAAATGAAGGGAGCAAAGCCTCTCTTTGCTTTCTGCCTTTTACGCTTGCTTGGCTTTTGGCTGGAAGAGCTTGCACAGAAACCCAATCTGCTTGTGCTGCTGATGGGAGGTTCTGTGTATCTGTGTATGGCTGTAGATAGCAGGCCAGGTACTGTGTATGGCTGGAGATACCCTCTACCCCAACCCCTTCGCATCAATGGAAGGTCGGGTGGAAAAGATTATCCGGTTTGAGCACTGTTGAAGTTAAGAAACCTAGAAGGCGGCTCTAGAATGGTTTTTTCATGGCGAGGACAGCTGTGAGAATTCATCTACAGCCATCCCCGTGGAGAGAGGACGGTGTTCGACTTGGCACACGCCGGGATATCATCTAAATCCAGCCAAGCTTGGCAAGGTTTTAAGGGGTGCTTTCTTGGCTACGGCGTTGGTAACTGTTGTAGATACGGCAACAATAGAAGCCGTCTACAGCAATCTCAACAGATCCCAAAGCTAGCTAGCTAGTTAGAGGCAGCAGCAGCAGCATGGCTGGCAAGAATAGAATCATCTACAGTCAATACCAAGGACAGAGCAAGACAGAGCAGTCAGGAAACAGGAGAGCCAGGAGACCCACCGGAAGCCGGCATTCAACCATGTTTTTGGGAGTCGGAAAAGAAGGTGTATCCACTGGACTCCACCGAATGTCTATAGACACCTTATGTCACGCTGTGTAGCCAAAGTGATTAAAATGTAGAAACTGCTATGTATGTAGTGTTAGGAGCGTTGCTACCTTGGATCTTGATCATCTATGTATGGCTGCTTGCGGAAGTTTGTGAACAATGGTTTTGCACAACTTGCTAGTCGTCGTCATCTCGCTCTTTCCGAGTCGACTATGCATGTATGATGTATGTATTCTTGCGGCTGCCTCCCCCTCTATAAATCGACACGGTTGACAAGTCTGTGAATGGCAGCAAGGGCAAGTTGCTGCTTCATGGCGGCACGCTCTCTGGCCAGTCTGATCTTGTGGTTGAGCTGGAGGAGTTCGGCCGTGGCGGGAGTGGCGGTGCGGCCAATCAGGCTGACCGGGGCGATCTCGCCGTGCAATCCGAGTCCCAATGGTGGGGCAAGTGGAGGCAATCCATTTCTCATCATGGTGCTTCGCAGTGAAGGCGAAGCCGCCGATGGGACGTGGATGCTTGTAGTAGGTTTGCGGGAAGGAAGTGCAGCCATGTTTGGCACACCCTTCAAAACGGCACTTTGGGCCGCAAACATCTGGGTAGGACTGGGAGTAGGAGAAAAGAGAGTCTTTTGTTCTTGTTGCGCTGGAATCTTGGGGACTGTAGGAGGGGAAGATGGGTGACCCGCCAGGAGGTGAGGAGGCACCTTGAAGTTTTGAACCTTCCTCTTGATGCTCAGGGATAGGTTGCGTTGACCCTGAACGAAAAATTCATGCCAGAATCCTCCCTTGTCCTCGCCCCTGAGCCTTCTGCGAAATCCATAGAGATTCAATTGCCTTTGAAAGGAAGTCATACGATTGGAGGTGAAGTACTTGGGCATGATTTGCTTGACGAATTCATCAATACTGTGGATCATAAAACTGCGTCCGCTGGGGCAGAAAGAGATAATGTCGTCTTGGTTGTTCTTTGCTGCTTCATGAAGAATGCGGTACAACTTGAGGGGGAATGGCTCATTCTTGTTGATCTTCTCTGGGTTGTACGTCTTGGCGTACTCGAGGAAGAAGTCGTCATCGTTAAGGTTGGAAGCCTTCGTAAGACTTTCTTCTTTCGGCTGGTGGAGATTCGCTTCACCAGCATTCGTGGCCGGCATGGTGGAAGAGCAAGATAGGAGCCCATCAATCTTCATTCCCAATGGAGACGCGGCAAGGCCCATTGCTGCCGGAGCGGTGTCAACAGTCCAAGTGCGAGGGGTTTTTCCCAAAGGCGAGACTGTTGAAGCAGGCGAAGCCATCATGTTGCTCCGCTGTTGAGCCTGCATCAAGAACCGAGTCAAGAAAGACTCTGTGCGTCCTCCAGAGGTAGGAGTTGACAGGAGAGCAGTGTTTTTCATCATCTTGGTAGTGGTGTTGGGACACGGGAGTCGAGAGAGATGAAAAGGCTGTAGTGGACGGTAGAATCAAATGTTAGACAACACAGTTTCTCTCAACATCAATGCAGTATCTGAAGCTGTGATGTTGCAGCCTTACCTTTTGCTTTGCTTGGGCTTCGAAATTGTGAGACTTCCAAACTGATCGGTGAAAATATCACTCGAAGGGTAAGAATTGACGGCTGGGATGCAACTATGTATACTGTACACGTATCTCGTTCGAGCTCTCCTTCGCAAATGCCACCCCAAAGCAGTAAAAGCGCAGAATTGAGTTCGATCTGAGGAATGACCCTCCTATTCAGGCGCATGAAGAGAAAGACTTGAAGCATCTCTTCGACAGCTCTTCGACACTTTTGGCTGACACTGGTAAGCAGGAGCGGGGAAGCACCTTGGCACCTGGAAGCAGTGATGCCGAGGTACACTCGTACAGCTACTCGTACGCACGCTGAACTTGGATGATCGTATTGAGGAATTCTTTTTGGCTTTCTAAGCATCAATATGACATAATGACCTCTTGCCGTAATGCAGAAAAGAATGCAAGAAAGAAATGGGATTCGTTTCCCCAGCTGTTTTTCTCCTACTATGACTGCCATAGGAAGCTCTTAATAGGAACTCTTGCTTTTCAACCCACCCAATAATATATGGCTTAAGGGACTGGGATGCTGCATACAGATTTGGATGAAAGTGTCGCAGTAGTGTCCATCCAGAAAGAAACCTCGCGCTCTTCAACCTGGCACTGCTGCAGAGCTGCTGCAGGGATTGGCTGGATGGCTGGCTACCGTACCCTACGGTAGCTATCGGTATAGCCTGTAGGCTCGAGAGTTTGTTCACTTAAATTTGCTTTTGTCTTGACAAGGGCAAAAGCTATGTCATGGTTTGTACTACCCATCAGTGGCTACTGGAGCACCTGGCTTGCATAAATTGACCATTTCAGCCCTGATCGTTGAAGACAAAAACGACTCAGAGTCCATGTTTTGGAATTATTTGTCATTCATTGGATCTGGCTGGCAAACGAGACAAAACAAATGAGATATTGAGCAGTAATACCCCCAAGAAGCTAGCTAGCTAGTAGGCAATACCGGACCTGGCGCGATTTCCTGGGATTGATACACAGTAACTGTTGTGGGATCAAAGCAAGGTGGTTATCGCTCTTTGAAGCAGAAGATCAATACTTTTAGATGTTACAGCTCTCTATAAATCCACTCTCATGGTCGCAATAGCTGTAGGAAGAACAACACTCGAAAGGAGAGAAAAGGGTCCACTTTGCGGCTTCGGGCTTGTGGATGGGATTACTGGGGTGCTCCCTGGGGTATCCATTGTCTACTCCGGCGTACCGGTAACTGTTAAGTGCCACCATTACAGTTTACAGCAAAAGGACTTGTATTTTGGGATTCGTTCGCAAAAGCCCTTCGCTTCTTCGAGTCATTTTGGAACTGCCAGCTGAACTGCCACACTTCTTTCCCTATGACTTTCTTTGATTGTGTTCATTTCTAACAAAAGGCTTTCCAAACTCGATCGATCGTGCCTGTGGCTGCGAGGGCTGAAGACCGCCAAATAAACTTGAGGTGTGAGATGATGTGCAATAGGTTACTGTACGGTACTTGCAGGAGTAACTTCTATCCCACATCCTACCGGTACCGTTACCGGAATCGTACTCCCTACTCAGCACATCAAAAACGGGCTTCAATACCGCGAAGGAGGAACAATTATTGCAACACAAGCAAGCATCAATGGCAAAACGAGATCTTGGATACTAGCTGGCCTTCTCATTCAATGTTGAGCTATGCATAGACGGCAGAGTAATGTTGCAAGTCCATGTTCCTCTCCAAAAGAGAGCCCGGGTTGTTGCTTGGTCCTCTCAACGCAAAACCGAGTTTGGAAGGGTCATCGACAGAGGCGGGTAGGCAGCAGACTGGTTCAATCTGCCGGTTTTGACCGAGGCAGGTCCTGCATGAGGACTACATCGCGCAATATGTAGAAAGACAGTGTAGGACCTCCGTAGCTCCTCGCTGGTAGCAGAGTTGCCTGCGTACAGCCAAGGCCAAGCGACATCTTGGAATTTTCCAATATAGCTGGGGATAGAGAATTGACAGCTTAATAACTCCTTGTCCAATGTCCAATGATTCAGGCATTCAGGCTGCCGAAGGCATGAGCCCTCAACGAGTTTGACTTTGATTGGCAGTGGCTAGCTGGCTGCAGCTGTAGACCTAGCTCTAGCCAGCCATCTGTTTCTCTTTTGGTAGTCTACCTCTATTAGGGTTAGGGGTAAAAACTGTGACACACAGAGGGACAAACACACAAACACACAAAACACACAAACATACAAATAAAATTCACAAGGGCCCTAACCAAGTTGAGGGCTATTCGATTCAATCTAGAGGTGGGCCAGTCAATGACTGCGCCTCCAGGAGGCAAGCACGTCTGATGACCTAACAACGCCTTGGCGAATCTAGCTACATGTAGTAGGTGAATCAGTCGAAGATTGCTCGACCGGTATGGTACATCGGGAGGCAACTGCGACTTAGTTTTCAATGCAGACCATTCCACGACGAAAGGGCTTCAAAAGCTCCTTGCATGCACTGTAGAATCTCAAGCAGGTGAAAAGCATGAACTGGAGTGCCAAAATAGAGTCTTGAATCCTCACTTTGAAGGGGACGGTTCACACTTTGGCTTCTTCTGAATCTCGCTTGATCTTATTACCAGAATCTGATGATTGAAGCACCAGTACAATACGGCAGCGAAAAGCGAAGTATCCGTGTGCTTTGTTCGTCACTGATTGCTGCGTTCCTGTGGAGACAACCTGGGCTGTGCCACTCCGCCAAGCAACCCTGAAGAGTCTACAGGAAATAAAGGAATCGCCACTCGTCGTCATTCTTTTCCGCAGCCCTTCTTTTTCTCTCCTGGCAAGGCAGTAGATTGCCCAGCAAGTTCCTGGGTGTATCGTCCGCTGGGCCAATCTGCACGGCAACGAGACGAAGGCATTGAAGCGAACCGAGGTTGGGTTGAACCATCTTATTGAATAGTGAGCTACCAGCCAGGCTGATTCAACGTTTGGTCAGCCCTTTGACTTCTTCTCCAAGAACAAAGTCATTGCTTGTCAAGCAAGCGCCAAGTCATTATCATTGCTTGTGTGAATGGAAGAACAAGCATATGAAAGCTCCTCGCTATCTACATGTACGTGGGTGCTCGCTTCTGTTTATTGATTGGAGGATGCTTGGAAGTTGAAACCATCACGGAGCTTGTTTGTCATGTGGTCTGTTTGCATGACATGCGTGATACGGTACCATATATTCCTCGTTGGAGGCAACCTGGCTGCCTGTGGTGAGCCGTAATTGGTCTGCTTTTGCCTCAGGCGTCGCCTCGGGATTTTTGGAAGACATGGGCATGCCGGGCTTCCACCATCATCGCGACTATCCCCTTTGATCCCTCCTCCTTCCAACCGCACCAAAGGCTGATACGTGTGGTTGGAATGCTTTTTAGGCCGTGCTAACATCTGCCATGGCTGGTCTGGTACGTTGCAGGCAGCATCAACATCGGCCAGGTGGTGCGGGAACAGCAAAACATCACATGCTGGACCAAACACTCGCCCGATCGAGGGCGTCCTCGGGGTGCCCTCCTCCAAGTCGCTCGCAGCGTATCCCTCTGTTCGCAAATTGAAAATGCCTGGCTGCCCATGTTTCACGGCTTGCTACGGGTGCGCTTTAGGCAGTCGGGGCACCCGTCTTTTACAGCTACCGTGTATGCAAGGTAGTATCATGCCGAATTAGAAAAGTATTGCTATTTAGCTGGCAGTAGCTAGCTAGAGCAAGCTTAGCTACAGTGCGGTACCTAGTCTAATGCATTGACAACGTGCTTGTGTTTTCTGCCGGTGGCCATTTGAACTGACTTTTTGCGCGCCGTGGGGGACACCATGGACAAGAGATTGCCTTCGCTCTGACGACGCAGGGTTGCCCGTGCCTTTCGATCCCTTCTAGGAGACAGCGACTTGGACGATTGTCGCTCGGGCAGCGGCTTGTCCACGGGTTTTCTACCGCGTCGGAGTTTGCGCTCCGTCTCTGGTTTCTTGTTGGGGGAAGACTTGGATGCATCCTTGCTCTGCCGACTGCGTTTGGTTGGGTCCTTGCTCTTGCGCGTTCGCGTCGACTCTCTTCGAAAGGTCATGTTGGCCATGACTTGCTTCATGACGGAGACCTTTAATCGTTTGCTGTAATTGTGTTTCCAGCCCTTTTGCAAGAGGTTGTCGAGTGCAGTGGGGAACTGGTACAGCGTCAAGTTGGGTCGTTTGCCTTGAATGCAGACCTGGATCAAGTGTTGTCCAGGTTTGAGTGTGGCAAAGGGTTTGGAAAGTGTCAACATTTCAAAGAGTATCAGGGCAAAGGAATAGGAATCACTTTGGAGCCGAAAGGTACCCCGAGTGACCAGCTCGGGAGCCATATATCTTGGAACCACACCCGCTCGCGTGGTCGCAGTCATCAACACCTTGCGATGATTCCCCATTTGAGAAGTACCACTTGCTTCGGGCTGTGTTGCGGCGGCAGGAGCGGCTGCTGTCTCGACGGGACTTCCGAGCATGACCGAGATGTCGTCGACGGAAACTTCGTCATCGCTAACGGCGCGGTTGATGTTGCTCTGCTCGTCTTGTGACACATCTCCTCTTGGTGGATCATTCCACGTTACGACTTCTCGACAGTGTCCCAAATCAAAGAGCTGGACAGTCCCTTCGGCATTGAATCCAATCGAATTGGGGTTCAAGTTCAAGACCACCATGTTGTGTTCAGTTTGTAGATAGTCCAGTGCACTCAAGATTCCCCTGGCAATGTCCAGTTTCTTTAAAAAAGCGGGACTCGCCGTGTCGAGTCGCAACGCTCTGTTTGCTTCCTGCGCTCTCCACCGATCCATTCGATCCGCCAGCGTTTCCACAATCCGGTCCGTGAGGAGAAAGAATTCTTCGTGTATTCGTCTGGTGTAGTCCTCTCCCATGGGCACGCCGCGCAATGCCACAATGTTCTCGTGATCCAAACGGGCCAAGTACTGTGCCTCCAATACCAGGGTTGTGGCTGCCACATCAAACTGCCGCGTGCTGTTGCTCCGTTGTTGTTGCTTGTGATACTGTTTGATCAATTTGCGATTCAAGTGTTTGAAGGAATACTGCTGCGGACTCTGGCCACACACCACACGTCGTTGCTCGTCTTCATGGTTCCGCCGCCTCTGCAACGACAAGGCAGTAATGCTGGATCGCACCGTCAAGGAGGCATCGCCCAACGGCGCTGGTTCGGCGGAAGCATAGTAGGGCAACTGCGTCACCTGATAGGTGGTACTAAACTCTCCCGTTCGCAACACGGAACCCAACGAGATTTCCTCCCGATGAAAGTGAGCCAGATTCTCACTGGGGGGTTCTTCTTGTAGCAACCGCGAGGCTCGTCGGGTCTTGTCCACCAAGGCCGTCACTTGCAACGACGAATCCTTGCCATGGTCTTCCACCGTCTTGAGCGCGGATCGATGGCTGCGAGAAAAGATCTTCATAGTACTGAACTCTTCTCTTCTCACTAGGTGGATCGTTTGAAATTGTGATGAGTGATGAGCTACAAGAGCCGCGTTGTGATTGCTGATGTGATGATGCTGTAGATCAGGCTGACCCAGCCAATACCGGTGCAAAAACTACTGCGGCAGTCAGACACAGAGGCAATTGAGCAATGAATGCGGTAGAGGCAATCGATCTGCTTAGAATACCGTCACACTTCCAATAGAGCACCAACAACAACAGGGAAATAGACCAGCAACAGACAGTTTATGGCTAGATCATGCGAGAAGAGATGCTTTCTCGCATTGTGCTTCGGAGTTGTTGCGTCAAAAGCGCGTCAACCAAGCGCTGTTCCGCACAAAGCACACAAGCACACACACCTGACTGCCATAAACGCGATGTTTGGTCCTGGAGAACTACCAATTCTTTAGAGACATTCTGGTCTCTATTTAAAAAAGGAATGTGCGTGGGGTATCAAACCATGTCCTCTCATAGTCTTTGGACCTCGTTCAAGAAAGAAAAGAAGATGAACCGTCCATCTTCAATCAAGAGAAAACAGAGAATTAATACCGAAACGAACCGAATGAACAGGGGGCACGACAAAAAAGTGACCCTGACAACGATGTCTTGGGAGCTGTCTTGGGCGTGATGAGGACTAAAACACTGACACAACGATTGAGAGCCATTGTAGGTAGATGCGGTAAAACATATTTTTGATAGTGGCCTACCGTCACTATGAGTGCAATGTTGCCTCAATAATTACCTCAACTTCGTAGCTCAATCTGCACCGTTACAGGTACCGGTGGTACCGTTAACCTCGAAGAGCCAGCTACACAGGCACTCACAACCAAGATACAAGACTATCAGTACTAGCTAGTATGTGGATTGCAAGGGTACCGGTGTACCGGTACCCTTGTCAGCAATCCACATTCTAGCCACCAACTAGCTAGTCTACTTCTGGCATTTGGCTGTCCTGAAATCCATGGGACGAACAATCATGCAGTAGAGCTCTGCAAAAGGCAATTTGGAATCCCTCCGATATGCCCACGAAAGAGGTTGTCCTTGGGACAGGAACACGTGCACATCAGCTGCTGCAATGGCCATGCTGAGGTACTAAGATATGCTATTGGGAATGGTTGCCCCTTGTGATGAAAATGCTCTGCTGGTAAGTAGTTCGGGAAATCTGAATGCACGTTCACGCCCCTACGAACCCATACAATGATTGATTGATTCAATCGAACAGGCAACAGCGAGCAGACAAAAGTTCCACAATCAACTTCATTGTTCAAAAGAAACGTGCGAGTGTTGGTCACTCGCACCAAATTATGCGAGATTCTTTGAATACTTCCGCTGATCACCTCGAAGTTACGGGGGTCTTTACCAGCGACGACTGTTTCCTTCTGTTCGTTTGCTCGTCCTGAAGAATATCTGCCAGCACCTGCCTCAGCGTTTCCTGTCGTGTTGGCATTGGTTTGCACACGAAGGCATTAGCTCCTGCCGCAAAGAAGTCCTTTGCCATCTCGTTCGCCGAAAGCCCACATATCTTCGCCCTGACTCCCTTCGACCGTAGAGCACGAGTGGCCTCGGTTCCCAGCAACTGCTTTTGCGTGCTAGCCATGTACCTGTGGATGAGGGAAGACAACGAGCAGAAGCGTTAAGTACATGTATGACTCAAAGTTTTCGTCAAGAGCGATCCATTGCTTACTGGTCCATGAAGATCAAATCAAAGGTATTGTCTTGATCGATAAGCCGCAGAGCAGCTTCTCCGCTGGCTGCTTCCTGAATTGACCATCCAGGTCCGATTCTTCGCACTGCCCGAACCAAGAGCTTTCTCAAAACAGAGTCGTCGTCAACCATCTGCGGGGTAAAACAAAACGAACATACATAGTGAGACAAGTCAGTTCGTGTCCAACTTCACCAAGATTTGTAACAACGATTCGTACTCACCAAAACTGACAAAGTTGCAGGAAGAGCATCTGGTGTTGGCATGTCCTGGGAAATGTTTCCAAGACTACGTCTATTTTCTTCCTTTTCCTCGACTCCTCCAGCAATCTGGGCTTCAATGTCCCCTTCTACCTCCAGCGGCGTGGTGTCTTCCATTCGGATCGGCGGCGCGTTGAGGTCAATGATGAATCGTGCCCCCGGCCGATCATCGAATCCACTGTGATAGGTTTCATCCAACCACACTTCTCCTCCCATGAGTTTCACCAAAATTTTCACAAGCGACAATCCCAATCCAGTCCCTTGGCTGAGGGTATCGAGACTTTCCTGGAACTTTCCAAACAAATTTTGTTTCTTCTCCTCGGGAATGCCCGGCCCTGTATCTTCAATCCAAATCTGCACTGTTTCTTGGTTCGGTGATGGAGCTTGTTCTAGAAACGCGACTTTGTTCTTGTTTTTCTTCTGTTTGGAACCTTTGCGCTTGTCTCCTGTCGTTTCCTCATCTTGTGGAGGCGGGGGCGGACGTGCAGGCACAACTTTGACGGAGAACCTCACATACCCATTCTCCACAAACTTTGCAGCATTCTAGTGACGGGAATCACGTATGGACAGTGTGTGAGACAGACGCCACAGCAACGACCGCAGTTGTGTTGCTGCTCCATCAGAGGATGTACGTACCCGTCCCAAATTCAAAACCACCTGCTTGAGACGAAGTCTATCTGTTTCCACCATGAAATTCAAATCGTCAGTAGAGCCACAATCCAACTGTACGTCGACACTCCGTCCGCGCATGTAGAGCATTGCTTCGATGGGCTCTAGAATGTCATGTTTCAAATCTGTTGGTCCTTTTTCAATGTTCAGTTGATGGCATGCGGCTCGTTGGACATCGAGCATGTTGCGAAGGAGCTGTACGGTACGAAACGAGCAGAAGAGTTGTTAGCGTCGAGTGAATTGAATTGCCGCCAAAAGTCCTTGGTGGCACTACAAGTGTGTACTTACGTCGTTGATAAACTGCAAACTGGAATCAATAATGTGACAATCCGCCAAAATGGCTTCTCGCGTATCTTCTCCCGCCACAATGTGTGTTGCTGATGATGACTCTAGTACTGGTAATGGTTTCGACGTAGGGAACAATGGAGCAGGCGGGGCGCTGCTGCGTCTGTTCTTGATCAGCTCTTTCTTGGAATCGGACACCCCAGTGGTGTTGGCAGTGAGCGAGAACAGTGGAGCGGGTTTGTTTTCTTGCGATGTGGAACTGGAAGAAGAAGATGTCATCGCAAAGAGAGGAGGTGCAGGTGTATTGTTGTTGCCTTGCTTTGGTTCGGAAGAAGAGGACGGCGCGAGCGAAAACAATGGAGCAGGCCTATCGTTGTTGTCTTGCTCAGAGGATGTCGATGTTGTTGGCGTGGAGGAAGGAGGAATTGCAAACAGTGGAGCCACTTTTTCTTGCTTTATTGGTGATGAGGAGGATGTACTAGGAATTGCAAATAATGGAGCTGGTTTGCTTTCTTGCTCCGGTACTACGGAAGAGGAGGAAGGAGCCAGGGAGAAGAGTGGAGCCGGTTTGTCTTGTTGCTGATGTTGTTTTGGAGTAGTAGAAGAAGAAGACATGTTGTCAGCAGTCGCACTGGTGGAAAACAAGGGAGCTGGAACGGCTGGTGGCTGTTGATGATTGTCGTTTGTTTTGTGTGTGGCGGCCACCTTGGCAGCTTCTTCTTCTGCTTCGGATTCTTGCTGCAATGCGGATGTGACAAAGCTGCAGGCCGACATGGCCGCCGCCAATGGGTTGCGAACTTCATGGGCAATGAATTCTGCAAAAAGAAAAGCAAAAGAAAAACAAGAGTGAGTTGACAAAAGAGACAGAAAGGTCTCTACTTGCTAGAGAAGTTTGTTGTTGTTGTCGTTCGTTTCGTCATTCGTACCATTCAATTGTCGTTCGGCCGCAGCCGCTTTTTTGGCATGATCAATGCGCAGCAGTGCTTGTTCCTCTTGTGATTTCGCCTTGAGTTTGGATTCCAACGTGGCTCGATTCATTTGTGAATTGATCCACAAGGCCAAACACACAAAGCCAACGAGAATCATGGCTCCGGCCAAAATGGACAAGGTAGCCCCCGAGGGATAAGTTCCCTCCCCGGCAATACACGCCACGGTCCAATTGCGTTGTCCAATGACAATGGTTTCGGTATGAAATCGAATGTCCGTCCGAGCGGACAGATCGGCGTAGGATACTTCGGGCATTGGCAGTATATGCGTGTAGTCGTCATCATTCTTTTCCACTTCCACGTCATCACAATGGAATTCGGCGGCTCCCAAAAAGGCTGGTTCGGTGGTCTGATTACTATTGTTGTCTTCCAGTGTCGAATCGTACAAGTAGACTTTCATATTGGGCAAGGTACTTTGGGCCAACGATTCGTACATGTGATCTTGTTGCGCAAGGAATTCGAGCAATTCAGGAATGCGAATGGCCAAAAGTGAGACATCGCCGCGGGAATTGTGGGTGCCCGATTGATCGTAGGGCGCCGTCGATGGTCGTCCGGGGTGTACGAGAAAGACACTGTATACATTACTATCAGGTGGCGTCGGTTCTTGGAGCAATCGCACGCGTCCGGTAATGTGGGATTGCATTTTGGAGAGTGCCAAGTCGACAATGCGTCTCGAACCGGGCATGGAGTAAATGTCCATGTCAATGACTTGTTCATTGCCCCGAATGGGTTCCACAAAGTGAATGGGGTAGTAAAAGGGCGCCGGTGGTAATGGTTGCAGTGCGTACGCAGTGACGGCTTGTGGATCGTCTTTGGGAAGGGTGGCGACGCCCGAAAATCCATTGTAATGCTTGGCCAAATCCGGATAGAACGCTTTGTAGAATTGCTTGGCTTCTTGCTCGTACCAGTCTCGTTCACTGTGTGTGACATTGGGAATGTACTGAATGGCGTAGAGCGGCAGTCCTTGTGCGACGACGGCATCGTACAATTCTCGAAAGTAGGATCGAAAATTGGGAGCATAAAAGGAATCGATGTTGTTGTTGTTGCTGCTGCTCTGATTGTTGCTGTTACTATCGAAATGATGTTCGTAGTGATGACTGCTACTCGATTGTTGAATCCACAGACCGGCTGTTTCGTATTCCCGAAAGGCGGAATAGACGCGATGTGCCAGCCGTTCGACGTCTTGTTCAAATGCCTTTTGCGAATCCCCAATGGCCGTCAAGACGCCAATCGCCCAAAAGGCACCTGTTGCGGCACAGCCCAAAATCAAAATGACACTGGCCACCGTCGTGGACGATTTCCGTTTGGCGTCTTCTGCTGCTTCTTCTTCTTGTTGCTGTTGTTGTTGGCGCTGCCTTTGTTTCTTCTTTTTGGACGAGTGATTGCTGCTGTTGGCGCTGCGAGTTGATGCCTTGCTCCGACGACTCTCACTCGTTCGACTCGCCAATTCCACATCGTCCAGAAACATTTCACTGGGTTGGTCGGGGTTGCTGTGGTCCAACGAAAATCTCATCGTCAATTGGTCGATCTGCGCGAGTGTGTGATCCGAAGGGGGAGGAGGGGAGAAGGAAGGACTACTAACTCACTTGGGTACCGTAGTGCGAGTGCAGAAGGTCGGTCCGAGTCTTCTTCAAGGAGGTTGCTTCGGGTTGAGAGGGTCGGATCTAGCTAGCTAGCAACTGAATCAACTCTCTTTGTACATGTATTATAAAAGCAAGCGTAGGTAGACGAAGAGATGGATGAATGCTTGGAGGTCCGCCGGGTTTTCTGGTGGCGAAGAGGATTTCGTGGGGGGTTGGTGGCGAAACCGCGCAAAGGGGAAAACAAGGCGAGAGGCGAGCCACATGAAACGCACCAAGAAGGGAAACTGGGTGGAAACAACCTGCAGTTTTGCTTAGGGGTGCGTCCTGGAACTCGCCGTAAGTGTAAACGACGAAGAAGGTCATTGGCATGGATGTTAATTCAATGACGGCCCCAGCTGTTTACTTTTTACGATGATTAGTTCGAAAGCTGGACGAAGACTCTCTAGAGAGGGGCTCAAGCGGTCATGGACAACTCAGTGGGTAAAATTGATAAGGTATTGATATTTCTCTAGCTAGAGTTTCCAGGCATCACATTGGGTTGGGGCTCCGGAGCTAGAAAAAGGGCGCAAAGCGCGGGAAACTTTGTTAGTACTGATAATTTGTATAGTAAACACATGTCCACCCGGGCGACATTTGTCTCACTTTATTCGAGTTTATGGAGTGAAGTTTAGATGTGAACGCCGTTGTGGATCGAGGCAAACCATTTGAAAATGTAGCTCCACCCCCATCAATAGCCATGGAGTCGACCAGAGTCAAATGCAACATCA